GCGGTGGTATGACAGTTGTACGAAAAAAATCTATCAAGCGCTATCACGCATGAACGGAAACAGAAGATGACTCGGAAGTTTATGTCCAAGGAATCTTCGTAAACACGAACGAAAAATCCAAATGTTAAAAGTTGATTGACCTAATGAGATAATGAAACCAGAATTCTGCAGATTATATTTTATGTATCACTATTTATGTATATAGATAATGTAATAAACTATATTATCTAAATGAATAAGCGCAGCGCTATGACTAATAAAAATCCAAATAATAACAATAATAATGAAAACAACATAAATTGGGGTAGTATTAAAACGTAGACAAGTGACACAATCGTCCTGGATAAAGTGCAATACGTTATCAATGAATTAAGGTGCCAATGGTAGTAATATATATCTCAGGTGACAGTGACAGTCCCCAATGGTTATTGATGGAAAAAAAAACTTCTATATCCCAGTAATAATCCGGTGACATGCGACCAATGGAAAGATTGCCCACTCACCAGAAGCGCAAACTTAATGTGCATTGATCAAATAAGCCAGAAGCAGAGGTCCCCTTTAAGGTACACTGATGAGATCCTCTCCTCTGGCATATGCGTACTGGAGATGTCACTCCCCTTCCTTACCAGGCCAATTTTCAGCTTTCAGCGCTGCCGCAATTTGATTGACAATTGCGTGGGTCATGCAAGATTGTATAAATCACCTGGGGTCCCATATGAAATTTTGATCATTTTTAGTTAGTTCTCACAAATAGATGTAACTTTTGGTGCACATACAGTTAAAGAAAAAGGGCGCTGAACTTTTTGGGATTACGTGGAGTTTTGCATGAATTGGGCAAAAAATGTGCTCTGAACGTCATCTAAGTCACAACAATAGAAGAACACAGTCTTTTAAAACATAATACTACACAAACATTAGATTTTTTCTCCTGGTTTAATTGCACATGAACATGTAAAAATTCACAGTGCAGGCAGGAAAAAAGGTGAACCTTAGGACTTAATAATGGTTGACCGGATTTGGCAGCAATAACCTCAACCAAACGTTTCCCGTAGTTGCAGATCAGCACTGCACAACGGGTCTGGAGTAATTTTGCGGCCACTGATATGCAGCAAAACTGATAGGCGGCAGATAGGTGACAATATGATGATGGGTACTGATAGACGGCACTGACTTAAGGTCACTTCTGGGCATTTCAATCGGGTTGGCAGGCTCTGACTGGCACACCCCTGGGCACTGACTGGTGGCACTGACTGGCAGCACTGCTGGGCTGCACTGGTGGGTGGCACTGGTGGACAGCACTGGTGGGTGGGCACAGGTGGGTGGCACTGGTGGGCACAGGTGGGTGGCACTGGTGGGCACAGGTTTCCTGGGCACAGGTGGGTGGCACTGCTGGGCACATGTTGGCACTTCTGGGCACAGGTAGGCCCTGAGGCAGCAAAGCAGAGTGGCCACACCATGTGGGTCCCCCCGCCATGTTGGGCACAGGTGGGGGAGGTGCTGGGCACAGGTGGGCTGTGCCTTTTTTTCTGGGACATAGTGTGGTGTGTTCTTCCTCAGTGGGGCATGCTGTCCACAGTAACTTTGCGGGTAGTCACTGCTGTGGAACACCAGGTGCTCTTTTGCAAACTGATCATCAGTGCCCCGCAATATTGGTTTTTGACCCCGCAATGGCTGACAACTCCATGGTGTCCTCGGCATGTACTTTCCATCACTTGTTTAATGTTTTCCTGAGGTAATGTGCAACAAAAAAGGTTAGCATTTTCCAGTGATTTCTGTAGGTCTTTGCTGACACTCTGCTGATTCTTCGTTACCTCATGCAATTCTGCGCTGTGCTCTTGCAGTCATTTTTACAGGTGGGATCGGCCCTTTCACCACATCACGTGATCAGCTGTGTCCGTAGGACACAGCGATCACGGAGATACGCCCTTGCGCAGCTTCATGCAAGTCAACAATTCTTGATCGCAGGTCTTCTGAGAGCTCTTTTCTGCGAGGCATGGTCACATCGACAGTGCTTCAGAAACCAGTAAACCCAAAACGGTGAAGCCGTTTTTTAAGGCTATGACAGCTGTCAGCAACACATCCAATTCAAGGTCACACTGATTGGAGTCAAGGTTGGCTCACTCCTGGCTCCAATTAGCTACTGGAGAAGTCATTAGCTAGGGCCTCACATACTTTTTCCTCCCTGCACTGTGAATGTTTACATGTTAGGCAATTAAACCATGGCAACATCTGGTTTGTGCATATTACCTGGGGTCAAACTGTGTGGATTTATTGTTGGACTTAGCATGAAAAGTTCAGATGCACATTTTATGCCCAATTCATGCAAAACTCCATTTAATTAGAAGGGGTAACAGATGTAACATGTAATTGCAATGTACATGAGTTATCAGCATGTAAATCCATAAACTTGCATAAAAAACGGATGAAGCAGCATCCAGGCTGCTGAAATCATTAACCAGCTGGAATAGGAAGATGGCCGCCGGACCTCCGTGATCCTGCGGCGTGACGTCACGGCGTACAAAGGCTCCTCCTTGCACTTTATCCAGGACGATTGTGTCACTTACTTCATAATTTGTCTACGTTTTAATACTACCCCACTTTATGTTGTTTTCATTATTATTGTCTGGATTTTTTTAGTCATAGCGCTGCACTTGTTCATTTACATTGTCTATTTGAGAGGATTTGTGGTTCCTTTTTGGTGCACTAGCAGCTACTGTAAGTGCTTGCTGAATTTTTGTTGTTAATAAACTATATTATACTCATTTCTGTTAATCGTTGTGTATATCGCTCGTTCTGGCTGGAAGGGCGTGGCTACAGGGTCACACGCACACCGCATCGCTTCCACTTGCCCGACGAACGATTCTTTTAGATTGGTTAATGTGGGCCACGATTTTGACCAACGAACGAATGCCTCTTGGTCGTCAGATGATCGATCGGTCGATTTTCTGATCGTGTATTCCCACCTTTATTCTTGTACTCTGGGTCAGCAGGGCTATATAGATAAGCTCAGGGCCTCACCAGCTGTATGAGCTCCTCTGTTAACACCATGTTCCCTTCTTGTATTTGCAGGGCAGCCTGGGAAGTCATTTGTCAAGGGGAGGTGTTAGTAGTGAAGCATGTTAAAAACACAAACGCATCAAAAACGCGCCTAAAACACACGCAAAACGCAGCACTTGCGTTTTAGATGCGGTTCCATTGAAGTCTATTAGACAAAAACGCAAACCACAGCGGGAAAATAAGTCCCTGACCCTTTCTAAAAAACGCGCCACTAAAAAACCCACAGATGTGATCCATAGGAAATCATGTTAAATGGCATGCACTACGTTCCTGCAAAACGCATACAAAACACGGATATGTGAACCAGGCCTAAAGGTGGAAAAAGTTCTGCAATGATTTATATTTGTCTCATTTTTTTACATCCCAGAAACCTGACATTTTCACAGGGGTGTGTAGACTTTTTATATCACTGTAGATAGAAAGGTATATTACATTTACTAGTATGAGCCTGGTTCACACTGATGCGGAGCTAAATTTGCAGCGTTTTCTGTGCGAATTCCACATCGCATCAGAATCACATCCCGTTCATGTGAACCGCGGCGGGTGTGTATGTTAACAACACCCCGAAATCGGTCCGTAAAACACGATGCAGTGTGCAGAATTGGATCACATACCCACGCAATCTGATTCTAGTGCAGACCAAAAAAAAGGGTCCTGCACATTTTTGGTGTGGATACGGTGCAATTAGAGCCATACATCCAGTCGCACCGCACACAATTCGTATGTGATTTGCACAGGTATGCGGTGTGGTTCCTGTGCAAATCACATGCGATATACTGCACCGCATATATGTGAACCCAGCCTGAAATGTTTTGTTTTCTACATTTCTTCAGTTGCTTCCTGGTTTCTGGTCTAGGCCAAAATGATGTCATACATCCCAGGAGTCTTCATGTGCATTTTTTTTTCTTTCATCTGGAGGAAAGGAGGAGGGGCTTGCTCAGCTTAGCTCACCATCCTGCCTACGTGCCTGAACTAAGGGCTGATGGATTCTAGGAACTAAATGCTACATGAATCATCTGCTCTTACTCAAGATGGCCACAGATAGAAATGCTAGGGGGGCGGGGGGGGTTCAAAGAGATTTCTCAACAAAAGATAGCTTGGAGACATGGATGGATGAGCGCGTTTGTCTTGAATATCAAAAATGAATGAAATAGCATTTTAGGTTTCTGGTGCTCAGATACAGATTAGTTTTGCTCTAAGGTAATTGTAAAGCTTGTTTTTTTTACTACAATAACAAAACATGTTATACATACCTGCTCTGTGCAATGGTTTTGCACAGAGCAGCCCTATACCTACTCTTCTTGGGTCCCCTGCTGGCTCTCTGGACTCCGCCCCCCCCCCCCCCCCCCCCTCTGAGTGCTCCCATAGCAAGCCATTTGCTATGGGGGCACTCAAGTGTGCTCACTCCCAAGCCCTGCTCTGTGTGTCCATAAGAACAGGGCTCAGCCGCCTGACCCTGTCCCTCGTCACTGGCACTGATTGACTGCAGCGGTAGCCAATGGCAGGAAGGTAAAAAAAACCTCCTGCCTTTACAACCACTTTAAGGACGAATTAGACGCGGCTGTCCCATGACATATGGCAATCTGGAGGCTAGCCTCCCTATGTTTGGTGAGGTAGCTGCACATACAGTACATACTGTAGGTCTGACAGATGTGCAGCTTTTCTCATTACAACACTCTCACTTAGCACAAGTGTTCAAAAGATAGCAGCATTTGCACTGACATGGCTTGACTCGGTATCTATGGGACAGTAGCAGGTAAGAATCTGTCATAGTTTGCTAAAATCTTTTCATTATATACACCTGACCTAGAAGGCCTTGAGAACATGCGATTCATTTGTATGTTGTGATTATCTAGATTCATATTGAGATGATCTTCAAGTATGTTTATAAAACCCCTGGAAGATATGTTATTCATGACTGTGTGTTTGTTTGATCTTTGCAGTGAAGTACGATCTCAATAATCCTGCCAGACACGCCTTGTTGGATAAGCTGGAAAATGCGGCCACTGCACTTGTGTTCATTATTGTGATTGTCAACATATTAATCACAGCATTCGGTGTACAGAACTCAGCACCTCCTTCAAAGTTATAGAGGCCAAGGTGATGAGAGGTAAGTGACACTTTGGGGTTTATTTACTAAAGCTGGAGAGTCCAAAATCAGACTCTCTTCTGCATAGAAACCAATCAGCTTCTAACCTCAGCTTGTTCAATGAAGCTTTGGCAATGAAACCTGGAAGCTGATTGGTTTCTATGCAGAAGGGAGTCTGATTTTGGACTCTCCAGCTTTAGTAAATAAACCCCTTTATGTTCAAAAAGATCTGGCAAGTCACAGGATACAAGATGAAAAAAAAGTGTTCTGGGGAGGATAGTGGCTGCATTTTTTTTGCTATGACTTCTTGAAAATCTTTGAAGTAAAAAGTCTCTTGAGTTATTTACTAAAACTGGAGAGTGCAAAATCTGGTGCAGCTGTGCGTAGAAACCAATCAGCTTCCACGGTTTATTGCCAAAGCTTCATTGAACAAGCTGAGGTTAAAAACGGATTGGCTACAATGCACAGCTGCACTAGATTCTGAGTGCACCAGTTTAAGCCTGGGTTCACATTCATGCGGTGCGGTATATCGCATGTGATTCGCACAGGAACCGCACCGCATACCTGTGCAAATCACATGCGAATTGTGTGCAATGCGATTGGAGCCATACATTTTGTATGGCTCTAATCGCACCGCAGCAAACAGGTGCAGGACCCTTTTTTGGGTCCGCACTAGAATCGGATCAAATGGGTATTCACACCTATGCAATCCGATTCTGTACATCGCACCGCATTTTGCAGACCGCTTTTGGGGTGTTAACATAAACACCCGCAGAGGTTCACATGAGCGAGGTGCGATTCTGATGCGGTGCGGAATTTGCACCGCATCAGTGTGAATCAGGGCTCAGAGTCCATTCTCACTTGTGCAACTTCAAAATCCTGCGATTTTCATTGCGACTTTACAGTGCGACTTGACACTTTGGATGAGTGCAACTTTGGCCAAGGATAATTGATCCGTTGTACAAAGTAAACACACAAGTCGCATGTACAACATTCAGGTGTGACTTACATGCGCCTTTGGAGGGTTTACATTGAAGTCTATGGCCCTCAAGTCGCATGAAAGTCAGACCAAAGTAGTGCAGGAACTACTTTGAAGTCACGCAGATATGAATGGCACCCATTGGGAAACAAGAGGGGGGGGGGCGACTTGTCATGCAATTTTGGACCCCAAAGTCGCATGACAAGTTGCATAAGTGTGAATGGGGTCTCAGTAAATCCCCAGCTATATCTTTCCCCTTCTTGGGTGAACCTTGCTCATATGTTGCAGGTTGGAACATAAAATACTGTTTAAAACATGCCACACCAATTGGTCTCCCAAACAGAAACATAAGGGCTCATGCACACAGGACGTTTGACCATTTCTCCTAGACGCCTTTCCTCCTGGCACCAGCATTTTGGCAGAGAAAATTCTTGACGCATGTAAACATGTTTTGGCTCTGGGAAATGTTGTGGTCTGGAATCTTTGGCTATATCCTTGGTCTACATGGTTTTTGTACCCCTTTTATATTATAACAATGTTATTTGTTGATATTATGGCTACACTCCGTTGGAGATTGTGGTTGTCTGATTGTATCTGTACATGGATCCATAACAGAGGTGGACTGACAACTCATGGGGCCCCCGGGCAATAGGGGATTATGGGGCCCCTGTGTCCTTGCCCAAACTCAAAAAAGCCTATGAAAAAGGTACCAGGGGCATCTCATGGGGCCCCCTACTGACCCCGGGCAGTGCTCGAGTTTCCAAATGGTCAGTCCGCCCCTGATCCATACTTCAACCAATAAAAACAGATCTGATTTAAAAAAAACATGTTAGGCACATTAATAATTTATTCTGGCCATTGAAATGAATTAACTCTCAAGCGCTAAACACACCTAAAGATGCGGCACTTTTGGCAGAAAAAACCACGTCAAGCATTTTGTTCTGCCAAAACGCTACTGCTCCTGGATTCGCTGGCAGTGTTTTTTTTTTTTTTCTGCCTTTAAATATCTGTGTGTGAATGAACACGCTGGAGTGTTTACAGGCGATATAAAAATAGAAAGAAAAAGGCCAATCGTCCTTGACTGTAGCATTAAAAATATCCATTGTGCATGAGGCCTAATGAATGCAATGCATTGTATCAGAAAGATTCTAAACTTTATAAATATGAAAGTGTATCTAAATCCTAACACAAAAATGTAACATTGTCCCTTACAAGTATGTCAGTATGGTGGCTGCATTAGTTTTCTTTTTTTTTTTGTTATTTTTCTCTTTATTTTCAGCTGGTGATTCTGTGAGTAAACACTTCCTGTCTTACCCCTGGTTCACATATATGCTGCCGTGCCCCGTGACATGCGGGGAAGAAGCACTTCTGAAAACGCAGCCCGCACGGGAACCTTAGTTTCCAGTACGATTGCATTTTCCAGTGCGGGTGGCGTGCCATTAGAACTAATGGCACCCGACTGCGGGTCCACATTTCTCTGTACGGGTGGTGCGGCTGCATGGTTGTGAACCTAGCCTTAGGCTGTATTCACACTTCAGTGTTTTGTAGCTTGAAGCTCCAAAACTGCTCAAACTTACAAAATCAATTGTTCTCTATGGTGCCTGTTGACAGGATCAGGTGTGAACAGGCATCATAGAGAACTATTGATTTGTTTAAGTTTGAGCTTTTATGGAGCTTGAGCTTCAAGCTACAAAACACTCAAATGTGAATAGCATGTGGGCTCTAATAGCACTGTTTTCTGTGTTGAAAGTTTATGCAGGCCATAGACGGGTCGTTTATCACCCAAATTTTTGTCCACTAGAAAATCGTCCAATATTCACGCCATTAGTGGGGCAATACCGTCAGCTGTTTTTTGTGGATCTTCTCATTTACTTTTATCGATCATGCTGGAAAATCCATGAAAAACGTCCGTTTTTCGTGGACATTGGTGGCAGCATCGGTGCCAGCAACGACCAATTTTTCGTTTATCCGTAAATTTGGCCGATAAACGACCCGTCTATGGTCAGCCTTAGTCTTCCCCAGCACTGGCCATATGGACCCCTAGGGGTTTATTTACTAAAGCTGGAGAGTCCAAAATCAGACTCCCTTCTGCATAGAAACCAATCAGCTTCTAACCTCAGCTTGTTCAATGAAGCTTTGGCAATGAAACCTGGAAGCTGATTGGTTTCTATGCAGAAGGGAGTCTGATTTTGGATCTCCAGCTTTAGTAAATAAACCCCCTAATGTCCATTTGGAGGCGCTATACCCATTGAGCAATCGTTTGGGGGGTTTTTCAGACTATAAGCAAGGAATTGTCCAGACTGGTTAAATTTTGTTTTCTTTTTTGTTTTCAGTTTTTTGAGAAAGTTAAAGCCACGGGATTATCACACAGCACACGCTGTCCTCCGAGCGAGGCCACAACTCAATTTGTATGGAATTATATATGGGCCATTTAGCCAAATATTCACTCACCTGGATTTCTCGGGTTCTGCTGGATCTGACAAACAGACAGATCTAAATTCTGGAAACACACAGCTGGAGGAAGTTTAAGTGAAACATCGAAGGTTGTCCACCAGTACGTTGACCCTCCATAACTCCGAAGAACCTATTGCTGGATACTCCAGTTCTGTCTTGGAACCAAATGGAATATACTTATGTAGCAATCATTTTTTTCAATTTATAGGCAAACGTCTTCCACCAACACTGGGCATTTCAAACTTCAAACTTGGAGCACGATCACCATATTAAATGCTGCATGTTCGCTGTATATATCCCATCCTATGGTCCTGATGGGAGAACAATGACATCTGCAATATATAGTCATCCTTTATTATGTTTTCAGATATTCTTACCATTTGTAAGCATGATGTACATGTATCATCCACGGACATTGAACTGCTTTTAGTTTTTAAACATGTTTCTGATTTCAGAAGGGTCATGATCTAAAGGTCGCAATCATTTCAAATATTGATATACTGATCCAGTATGGAAATTGTATTTTATTCAATGTTATTGTGGAATAGATTCACAGTAAAGAGCTACTAATAATAAACTAGGCTAAGGGCTATATACCTGGAAATGAATGGGATATCCACCATAATGTGTATCTAAAGCTAAGACTTTAATTGTGGATAGAGTAGGAAAGGTTTAGGACCTGTTGTTGTTTGAAAGGACCGCCGGTCACTGGGACGGGAAGCAAGCTGAAATCTACCCAATGGTGGCACAAAGATTGTTCAAGGAGAATGTCACACACACCGCAAAACCACCCAATGTGTGAGAGAGATGAAGGGTGGCCTGAGCCCTAAGCTCCTTCTGATAGGCCACACCCTCTGATGCATTTGGCCCCGCCCTCAGGGCTTAGTCATAGAGGTAATAGGTCCACCAGAGCTGTATCATCGGCACTGGAGTGGCACTCCACTAAGTATTTTCAAGGTGGCACAGAGTGTTATTTTAAAAAACCCCAAAAAACTGACCTTTCCCCGATCCATACTGTTCCTGCTGGGGGTTTATCTTGGTGGCCATCTTCCCTGGGACAGAAAATTGTGGAAAATCCAAAATGTGTGAGCTGTCACTAGTAGAAGAAGAGACGGGAGAGGAGACCTTTCAGTGGGTACAGATGAGACTTCCTACCACTTTCTGATTTCTATGTAAGAGGGGAAGTGAAAGGAAATCTCCTCCATGAGACACAGCCATCAGAAATAAAACCTGGTAGGAAATTTAACCCTTTCCTACTCTATCCCCCGAAAAAAATTTTGGCTTTAGATACAATTCCTCTAAAGCATGGGTGTCAAACTGGTGGCCCTCCAGCTGTTACCAAACTACAAGTCCCACGAGGCATTGCAAGATTGACAGTTACAAGCATGACTCCCAAAGGCAGAGGCATGATGGGACTTGTAGTTTCACAACAGCTGGAGGGCCACCAGTTTGACTCCCCTGCCCTAAGGGATGCTGGGGTTTACTGTGGACAGGTGCTGATATTCCACATTTTGCTGACCTCTCCTGATGCTAGCCAGAGTCAGGTAACCTTGCACCTCATCATTCTTTC